TGGTTTTATTGGGGGTGAATATGACAGAACAAAATGTTATTATTTTTTTTATTAGTTTTTATTTTTTCATTTCAGTTAAAGTTTTGGTAATTTTGCTGTTTTGTGTTTTTTTAATATGCCTATTTAGTTCATATTTTTATTTCAGTTTTAGTTCAGCGTTAGTTATCTTAGTAAATCAAGTTAAACTAAATGAAAATGAGAAATGTTGCTTTGGCTAACTAGCTTGAACTAAAATATTTTATTTTATTTAATTTAACAATTGTTTCATTTCAAGTAACAATGGTTTTAGCTTGGTTAACTGTAATAACCCTGTGTCCTGTAGGAGACAATCAGACGCTCAGTGTTCATGTGACCCTGCGGCCTGCCTCCTCCGTAGGAGTCCTGTTTGCTCTGGTTCATCAGGATCGAGTCCCGTTCTCCGTCTCTCTGTCAGACTATCATCCAGGGACACTCGACTGGACCGAGTGAGAGTGTGTGAGTGTGATCAGATCTCAAATCTCACTGCATTATTACAATTAAAGGCAAAATGAATGTTTGGAAATGCAATCTGATATTTCCTACTGACACACTACAGCAAAAGATAGAGATAACTGACTTAAACACATTTTTTAGCTGGTCAGAATACTAGTGTTCCAATATCTAATTTTGTCTGTTGATCTGTGACCTGCAGCACGTGCTGGTGTCGTTCGGTGACGTGGTGGTGGCCAGTGTCCCGGTGAACCTGTGTGACGCTCAAACACACACTGTGAACGTGACGGTGTTCGGGAACAGCTCTCTTCTGGAGGTGGATGGGCAGCTCGCGCAGATGGAGATGATGGAGAACGCAGACGCTCTGGATCTGACGTCTTCTTACAGCACCTTTATAGGAGGGATTCCAGGTAATGTCTCACATTAGTCTTGTATTAGTCTCATATTGGTGTCTCTTCAGTCTCACATCACTTACACCATTCTCACAGACATCTCACTTAAGTCTCAGTTAGGTCTCATATTGATCTCACATCACTTACACCGGCCACACATCCATCCCACAGCAGTCTTACTTCATTCTAACATCATTTAATCCAGTCTCACATCCATCCCACATTAGTTTCACTTTAGTCTCACTCAATGCCTATTATATTAAAGAATGGTTTAGTAGGTTATTATATTCATCAATTTAATATAAACATGCGACTAGTTGACTAGAAATAAATCTTTAGTCGGGGATAGGCTTGCTTGGCACAAGGAACCGATCCATTTATAAAATAAAATGCTATGACATTACGAAATGTGCGACTGCAAATCACTTCATGTTGTACTGCATTGCACACGTTATCCATGTGATAATGTGTATATATATATATATATGGGGGTTGCTTTGGTTTTTCTTTGGTTTTCACCTGCTAGCCCCTCCCCAGCTCCGCCCATGACATGTGGCAAAAAATAAAATACATATTTTTAAATTTTATTTTAGTTGATTTCAGAGTCATGTATTTTAGTTTACATTTACATTTAGTCATTTAGCAGATGACTAAATAAAAATATATAATAAATAAAAAGAAAACAGATAGAATAGAAAAAGAATAAAGCAAGCTAATGTTAGAGGCCTTTTTTACTTTTGTTAATTTTATAATAAATAAAATGAAAAGGAATAGATAGTGTTATTTTTAGCAAATGGAGTGCAAGTCTAAAAGGGGCAAGTTTTTTTTTTTTAAGAATACTATACTGTGTTTTTTTTTTAAAGTTTACTATACTGAATACTGTGAAATTTAAAGGAATCGTTTTGGAGTGAACTAAAATACACCAGTGCTCATAATATTTGTTTGTGAATGTTTACCAGTATTTTTTTCTGACTGTAATAATAAAATGTGACACTTGCAACTTTTCTATGAACTACGAAAGAGGATTGGGCCAAGCAATAATAAAAAATTAAAACCATCTCGAGATTAAAGTCGTTAAATTTAGAGAAAAAAATCTTTAAATTGCAAGAAAAAAGTCGAGATAAAATGTTGAGATTAAACTCGTTAAATTTCTAGAATAAAGTCATTGTTTCGAGAAAAAAAGTCGAGATAAAATGTTGAGAATAAACTCATTAAATTCCGAGAAAAAAACTCGTAAAATTTTGAGAAAAAAGTCTAAATAAAATGTTGAGAATAAACTCATTCAATTACGAGAAAAAAAGTTGTTAAATTTCGAGAAAAAAGTCGAGAATTAACACACTCGACTTTTTTCTCGAAATTTAACGACTTTAATCTCGAGATGGTTTTATTTTTTATTACTGCTTGGCCCTAATCCTCGTCCGTAATGAACGAGTGTGACTTGTCGTGGGACGCGGCTTATTTTCTGAAAAATACAACAGACTTCGAGGCAAATGATCTTGAAATGTGAATCTCCAGAGGGTTCTGATGTTGTTTGTTTGTGCAGATGTTTCTCTGGTGTCCGCTCCGGTGTCGGCCTTCTACACGGGCTGCATGGATGTGCGGGTCAACGGTCATCTGCTGGACGTGGACGAGGCCCAACACAAACACAACGACATCCGCTCTCACTCCTGCCCTCTGGTGGACACGCAGCAATAACCACAGCTCAGACTCCAGCACAGGAGGAGCTTTAATCCGGATCCAGTCAACGGATCTTCAAAGGCCTTAGTAAAGCCGGATCCCTCGCCACACTCACGCACATATAGCACAGTATCGATGTATTCCTCACATTAGACCAATCAAACACACGCTACTGAGAGTGTGCTGTAAAATACTGTAACTGTACATATGCCACTGTAAAATGCTTTAGAGGAGGATGACTAAAAACACCCAACTACCATTAAAGGCCTTCAGGCCTCGATGTAGGTGCTCAACTTCATCATCATCATCATCATTCAGTAGTTTGAGTTGGAACAGTTTTTTTTTAGTTCCTCGTTTGAGTTCGTCCTTTTCATCTTGTTGAAGTTGTTTTGTATTTTGTTCATGTTTGCGAGACTGAAATGCTTGAAGAAAACTAATAAAGGCGTTGTTATGATGATGAATTCTGTCCTTTTAAGATGTTCAGCGGCTCGGAAACAAAACCAACTAACTTGATGAGTGTCACTGTACACTGGTAGTTTTGAGACACAAGCACACAAACAATTAATTCACAAAAAAAAAAACATTAAGCGAAACTAGTTTTTTTTATGCACTGATCAAATTTGAGATTTTGGTCTGTTTTGCTCCCATATAATGTCTCTTCTTTCAGACTGGTGAAAAGAAAACATCCAAAACACACATTTAAGTGTTTATTTTATTGCACCATCTATTTGCGTCTGAAGATTTCAATCTTTGAGTTTTTTCTCTTACGCCAAACTTTTTTCCTCTCTTTATTCTGAAGGTTTGTTCATATTTTATACAACATTTTCTTCCTAAAAACATGGTGAAAATGTTTGTTTTTTTGTCTGTTGACAGTATTTTCTGATTTATGGAGCGATCAAAAGAGAAATGCAAAATCCTCTGGAAAAACCTTTAATATGGCAATAAAATCAAACAAGACTTTTGAATGTAGCTTTATCCAATGTTCAGATCAATGTTCTGGAAATGAACACAAACGAGTGCATATTTAAGTAGGTTATGCCACATTTGCATATTTTAAACAATGTTAAGTGCAAACTTTCAGAACCACCTGTTCCTGTATCATTTATAGTTTTGCGGTTTAAAATAGAATTATTTCTATTTTGTGAAAGGATTTTTTTCAGGGTTTTATTGAAGGTAAAATTACTTTAAAATAATGAAATTAATTTTATTAGGTGAAAAGTGATGGTCTTGTGCAGTAAACACTTTGCGTGACTAAACGGGAAACGCTGGACAATGCAAATACCAAAAACACAGTCACATGGGAATATGGTTCATTCTTATTCAGAGATATTTCTAAATCTAGGGGACGTTTGTTCATTGTATTTTTAGATCAAGTTTAAGCATTTAGTAAATGCACCACAAAGCAAATTAAAATGAATGTAGCAATAAAATATTGAACTGGCAGATAAATAAAAAATTATTCTGAGTTTAACTGAGAAGTTCATGATTAAGCTGAAGTCTTTCTGTTGTGCTTTTTAAGGCTTTTTTAATTCAAACTGGTTACTTATGGAAATGTTCAAAAGATCGTCTGTGCATGAGCATGAAAGGGTTAAGAACATCATATTTTTCTTTGAGATGCTATATTGTTGCCTTGTTTAATACAACAAATTTAAAACTTCACTAATAAATCTTAACCATGCATTTGCCTATTAACTCTTTAAGCAGCAAGCATTTCATGTATTATTTTTAATATCAATGTAAGAGCTGTATTAATCATAACAGGAGAATTTACTTGCTAGATTATGAAAGTAAAATCCGGCAGTAGTCATGAATATGTAGTTAGTTATTTTTTGAAAATACCCAATACATTTATTAAACATTTATGACAAGCTGACGGTTATCATCACAATGATTTTTAAGAGCATTTATTAAGAATATGAATTCTAAAGAGAACTTTCACTCATAAAATGTGCCAAAAGGTGGTTTTCACAGTGATGCAACACAAATATTCTTAACTTAAAACATTCTGTTTTGTTATTAAAGAAGAAAGTGGCATTTAGGAAGATTTTTCATTGTGTGCGTTGTTGTATTACACCAGGACTGATAGAGTCACACGTCTTGTTATTAAACCACATGTGTTATTCAGGAATCTGAATACGTTCTCAGCAGGATTCTCCTCAGACTCACGCTTCACTGTGACAGTAGTTGATCTGACCGCAGAAGACTAAAGCAGCTACAGTGATCTGTGAAGCTGAAGCTGAAGCTGAGGATGGGACACGTTCTTCAGCTTTGCATTGAGTGTTTCAGCCTTATATGATTCAATGAATCAAACTATGAAGATCCCACCAAAAGAAAGAGGACATTAAAAAGCCAAAGTTCAGAGGTTTTGGAAACTACCAGACGACGAGCAACATCGATCACATTTGCTACAAGAATAAGTGACGATTACATAGACTCTTTCTGAGGTCATTAGCAGCAGCGGCGGCGGTGGAGGTCACAGGGGTCAGATGCCTGTCAGAGGTCAGGGCTCCTGGCTCAGGTGGTGCTTTCAGCAGGCGTAAGGTGGAGGCTTCTCGAAGGGCCCTAATGAGTGAGCATAGAGCGAGGGAGCGTTTGGAGTCAGCATGTAGCCGCTGCTGTCCTGAGATGTGGATTGAGTCGGTACGACTGGATTCGTCCCGCTCTGAGACACTGCTTGAGTCTCGTCAGACGGGGAGGTCGTGACCTCGGGGACGGACTGACCTGCAGCCGGAGCTGGATAACCGCTCAGATGCTGGAGAACGAGGATGAAGAATAAAAAATGAACATCAGAAATGAGATTAAAGCACATGTGCAGACTTTTTAAGCAGCTGCTTGTTAAAATCTATACCATGACAAAAGTCATTTTCAACCACAGACATCATGATATGGTAATTCTGCCTGAAATCATAGATGTTACTTGAATTGAATTTAAAGCCATGCTTACAAAACCAACAACATTTAAATCTCTTAATAGAACAAAACTGACCGATATTTAAACGTTTTAATAGAACTAAAACCAACTGATATTTAAACCTTTAAATAGAACAAAACTGATTGATGTTTAAACCTTATAAAACAAAACGGACCCGATGTTCAAGTCTGTTTCTAGAACAAAACCTACCGATATTTAAATCTTTTAATATAACAAAACCAACTGGTATTTAAATCTGTTTCTAGAACAAAAATGACATTTAAATCACATAATAGAACAAAACCAACCGATATTTAAATCTTTTAATAGAACAAAACCAACCGATATTTAAATCATTTAATGGAACAAAACTGAACGAAATTGAAATCTGTTTCTAAAACAAAACCAACTGATATTTAAACCTTATAAAACAAAACGGACCCGATATTTAAATCTTTTAATAGAACAAAACCAACCGATATTTAAATCATTTAATGGAACAAAACTGAACGAAATTGAAATCTGTTTCTAAAACAAAACCAACTGATATTTAAACCTTATAAAACAAAACGGACCCGATATTTAAATCTTTTAATAGAACAAAACCAACCGATATTTAAATCATTTAATGGAACAAAACTGAACGAAATTGAAATCTGTTTCTAAAACAAAACCAACTGATATTTAAACCTTATAAAACAAAACGGACCCGATATTTAAATCTTTTAATAGAACAAAACCTACCGATATTTAAATCTTTTAATAGAACAAAACCGACCAATGTTTAAATTTCTTAATAAAACAAAACCGACCGATATTTAAATTACTTAATAGAACAACACTAACCGATATTTAAATCTATTAATGGCACCAAACCAACCAACTTTTAAATCTTATAATACAACAAAACTGACTGACATTTAAACGTCATAATAGAAAAAAAATTTTCTATAGTAATATTCAGTCCTGTTGGTGTCCTGATCATCTGACTGTCATGAGTACCGTCCTGCTGACAGAGGTTAGCTGGTTAGTGGTCCTCACCTGCATGGGCAGCGGGTAGTTTGGGTAGGCGGGTAGAGTTTGTCCGGAGGGGCAGAAGCCGGTGTAGGTGATCAGGTGTTGGGTGGGGTTGTACAGGATGTGAGGGGGCAGAGCCGGACTGGGTGTCATGTGACTGCGAGCCGCAGGAGCCTGAGCGCGCGCACACACACACACACACACACACACACATCTACATCAACTACAGACTCATTAAGACACATGAATGTGGAAGCTATGATATGGATAATGAGAATTATTGTTATGTTAAAGCTGATAATTTAAATTATGCATCTAAATAGCTTTGTCTGCTTTTTATTTATTTTTTTATTTTTTATTATTATACATTATTTAAGAAAAATGTAATTAGTGAAATAAGCCATCAAAACAATGCAATTTTCACTCAGATACAGAATATTGCCAAAATTATCCACAATGTTTTTATTTTTTGCCCAAAAACTGAAAATTGCCAAAATTACTTGCAAATATTTTTTTACTCATAAATTGAATATTGCCAAAATTATTCAATAACAATGCCCTTTTTACTCAGAAACTGAATATTGCCAAAATTATCCACAATTGTTTTTATTTTTACTCAAAAGAAATAGTCATAGCTCATGCACCCAAGTTTTTGAGTGAAAAAAGCATTATTGGCAAATAATTTGGGCAATATTAAGAGAGCTATGATTAATCAGCTCCAAAAAGAAATACAAAACCTGTGCTGAAAGAAAACAGGTTGGCAAAAAGATTGAATCCAAGATTTGGTGATAATATAACATAATGACAAATTTATAAGCAATTTTTAAAGGATGATCACTTTTGACAAGGAACACCAAATTAGATTTTTTTTTTTTTTTTTTTTTTAAAAAAAAAAGAAAT